CTCTGAGAGGGGAAATTTTGGAAAATTTGTAATATAAAGTATTTTTAAACATTTTTGAATATAAATATTCTCGATATTTCGTAATATTTCGTTGCTTATTGTACCATTACTGCTTATCATTCTACTATCATTATGATAATATCGAGAACTGTATGGGAAAGAATGATATAATATTTTTACTTGCAAGCATGCTATATTATGTGTTGTTGGGAAAGCATGTATCATCAAGATTATGGGAAAATAAACTCTTATTGGAAAATGTGTTGTAGTGTTGAAAATGATGCTGTATTATTGATAAGTGTATTGCAGTATTATACATGGATTTATTCTAATCGAATAGAAAAAAAAAAAGGAAAAATTGAATTATGTCGGATTCATCATCAGATGAGGATGAAACGGTGCCAACGCAATTAGTTGAGGAACAAGATGACGACATAACATTTCAAAAATTGGTTTGCATTGTTACCGTTCTTTGAAATATGTTTTTGTTCGTTGAAATTAAGACATTATTTGACTATTATTATTTTTTCCTTATATTTTGAAATCCATGCTCAAAATGCAAACGATATTTCGTTATCATGTGGAATGTGAAACGTTATGCTTTTCAGTTAGAAAAACGTTATGTTTTTCAGTTTTTCAGTTACTAAATGTCCGTTATTCGGAGGGAATAGAGAAAATCATGAGATTTTAAGATGAAGAGAAAAAAAGTTTTGTAATACCGTTCCTAGAAATTCGAAAATATCGGTTCTTACCTAATGTAATGAACATTAAATAGCTGATCTTTGGAAGGAGTTAAAAGGTTTGCAAGTTTGTCATACCACATAATTTTGGCATTATTTTAGGAGAAATTTCCGAAAGAAGAACGTACTTTGTAGACGTTCTTTAAAAAAATGCAATCAGTGATTGTCATCAGTGACCATTAGTGAAATTATATTATTAAGAAGTCATGGGTGTGAATTCAGTGTGCATTTAGTGTGGTCGCTTGAACATTATTTTTATTTTTAGGGTGTAACAGATGTTCTTTGTGAAGCATGCGATCGCTTAAATTGGAAAAAACCTACGAAAGTGCAAATTGCAGCTCTACCACACGCATTTAAAAAACGTGATATAATTGGTCTTGCTGAAACGGGGTAGATCTTTTTCCAAGTTACTTTTATTTTTGAACATAAAGCAAAAAAGTTTTAAGTCATTATTTAAAAATGTTTATCTTTGCTTAAAATATTCTTTTACTAACGTAATGCAATAGTAGATAATGTAAGGTGATATTGTATTTGATGCCATTTCGCATTTCACTGTCTTTTTAACCAGTGGATGATATCGAGCTTTTTTCCTACACTAATGATATGAACATAAAATTATGTATCATTTTATTAAAGAAGATAAGCTAAACTGTTTTAAAATAGAACGTTTTGGTGAAAGTTGTAATCACTTTTAACTTTTATTTGTATTTAGAAATTTGAAGGAAACCCATTTTTAGATCTGGTAAAACTGCTGCATTTGCTATACCGATATTGCAAGCTTTGCTTGAAACTCCACAGAAATTATTTGCTCTCGTGCTTACTCCAACCAGAGAATTAGCTTTTCAAATCGGCGAACAATTTGAGGCCCTAGGTGCCTCTATTGGAATCCTTATTGGTGTGTTAATCCTTATACAGCAAATTGTTTTTTCTTTGAATCTGTTGAAGTGATTCTCATTTTTTTGCTTTTCAGCTGTGATTGTTGGTGGTGTAGATACAGTGACGCAATCGTTAGCCCTTGCGAAACGTCCTCATGTCATAGTTGGTAAGTTCTAATATTAAGACATCGTTTTGTTCACAAATTTCTTGATTTTGATCAAAGTAAAATTTAACCTTACACTTAGATAATAAAAATTTCCAGCTACACCTGGTCGATTGGTAGACCATTTAGAAAATACCAAAGGTTTCAATTTGCGTGCACTGAAATATCTAGTGATGGATGAAGCTGATCGCATCTTGAATATGGATTTTGAAGTAGAATTGGAAAAGATTTTAAAAGTTATTCCAAAAGAAAGAAGAACATATTTGTATTCGGCTACGATGACTAAAAAAGTTAGTCATGTTTCAATCTGATACAAATGTCATTTAACGATGTTACCGCCCTTGGATGTAGCTGTTTCAGGTCTTAGTTTCGCAGAATTCATTTTTTTTTTTCCACACATATTTCTGTCGAGTGATTCTATTCTTCTTTGATATTATTTCTTGTAAAGTTAATAACCATTTCAAGAGAGCACAGTAACATCGACTTCCTTTAACTTACGAAATCAATAAATATCAGCCTGCTGAAATGGGTTTTTAATAAATTGAGGTTTTGTTCAGTTTAACTCGGTTTTATTGCATAATCGTATAAATTATATTTCCATTTAAATATTCCTGCTTTGTAATTTGCCGGATTTCAGGTAGCCAAACTAGAACGTGCCTCGCTCAATGATCCGGTCAGAATAGAAGTCAGTTCGAAATACCAAACTGTTGACAAACTGAAGCAGTACTATATCTTCATACCATATAAGTACAAAGTAATTATTTGGATCTTAAAACTTCACTTAGAAAAGAGAAAATCAAATAGTAGCAGTCAATATTTAAGAAAGTATATTTTCCTTAAATTCATGTTATTATAGGAAGCCTACCTTATTTACATATTAAATGAAATGGCCGGACAGACAGCGATAGTATTTTGTTCTACATGTGCATCAGCTTTAAAAACAGCATTAATGCTGCGGAAGCTTGGATTTGGTGCTGTTCCTTTACATGGCCAAATGAGTCAGGTAGAATTCCAGACATTGATTTTTTCTTCATATTATCTAGTTTGCAATTGCTTTTTTTTTGATTGTTTGAATAAAAAACTCAAGTTTAAAGTGTCCGTCACATATAATTTATAGGCAAAACGATTGGGCTCATTGAACAAGTTCAAAAGTAAAGCTTCCACAGTTCTTGTTTGCACCGATGTTGCATCAAGAGGTAACTATTTTGAATTAAAATTTTGTAGAAAAAATGTATGTTCAGTGTATCAGTATATGTCATGATTTATGTGCATACTGTCAACATTTATGGATAGATGAAGTATGTCATGAACTAATGATTTCCTTATCTTTTTCTGTTTTTTGGCTTAATTTAATTTAACTTGCTTCAGGCATTTCTCATTGTTTGTTCCGTTCAATTATTAACTTCTGTAAATATTGTAATTGCTTGTCTTTTACTGAAGGATGGATTTTTACAGAAAGTGAAACTTTGCATGGCAGCACTTGCATCTTTATTCATTATATCCCGCATAACTTCCTTTGCTTTTCTCATGTAGATATGATCATGTCCTGTAGTCACCTTTATTGATAAGCATCTGTTGCTACTTACAGATTAGATAATTTCATGTGCATTGTGTTCTAGATTTTACCGGTATATATTATTGCTTATTTTGTTTCCTGACCTTGCTAAAAAGCGATAAATTGCAGGTCTCGACATACCACATGTTGATATAGTGTTAAATTATGATGTTCCCACGCAATCTAAAGATTATGTTCATCGTGTTGGACGCACCGCTCGAGCTGGTCGATCGGGTGTTGCTATTACATTCGTTACTCAGTACGACGTTGAAGTTCGTTGTTCTTTATGTATTTTATTCTAAATAATTTCTTGATACAAATATGGGTTTAATGATTCGTTCAAATTCTTCTATCCTTTCTTTTGGTTCAGAAAATAGTGCTTACCGATTGTAAGGCTAACGTGCTTTTTTTTGTTAACTATTCCAATTTTTATCCTTAAGAAAACCTAGTGTTTACTGTCCTTTGGAACACGTATTATAGTATTTCTAACTGCGTAATTCCAAATTGTAGTTTTTTTTTTTTTCATAATTATACAGTTTAGATTTATCAGAAGATCGAACGTTTGATCGGCAAAAAACTTCCACTTTTCGAAACAGTAGAAAATGATGTGATGTTACTTGTGGAAAGAGTTGAGGAGGCTCAGAAGCTAGCAAAACAGGTATGCGTCCTCATCCTGATTTTGGTACTGTTGACAAGTAATATACAAATTTGGTCTCGAAGTTCCAAAGCTAATTACTTTCAAGCATTTGATTTAAGGAAATGAAGGAGATGGAGGAGAAAAAGGGTAGGAAAAGAAGACAGTTTGACGACGATGATGATGAAGTGAACGATGCAGAGGAAAGTAGTGCTTTTAGGAAAAAACTGAAGCGAAAGCAAAAAGGAACTCACAATGGAAGAAAGAAATTCTGATATTTTAAAGAGTACTAATAGTATTACAGTAGTTTTTCACCTGTAAAGTTTTGATTTGTCGGGGTGATTCGTTACCCATTTTAAAAGGCACCATTATTCCCTTCCATCTTTGTGGAATTCCGAATTGTTTTTTTTTTTTTAACTTGGTAAAAATGAACACAGGGCATTTTTTCAGATGTTTACAGTCTTTTTGTCTCATTCTTCATATATTTTTTGTTTTGTCAATTTCTGTTTATGTTGCAAATAAAATAACAAGTTGTAATTATTTTCCAATATATCATCTGAAAAATGTCATCCAACTTAATGTTGTCATTTAAGTGATGATGTTGGTACGACTGCATGTCAATAATAATCCTTTAAATCTAACAGTTAAATTGCTCGGCTTCAACCGGCTTAATAAGGGTTATCACTTTTTTTGCCGGACTTAGCTTCCAAGAATTCTAAAGAAACTTCCGAAAGCCATGGTAGTCATCGGAAATGCCATGAATTGGGGACGATAGTGATTTGGAAGGTAATTATAGCGAAATATTAATAAGTCTGTCATGCAGGAAATCTATTAGTGGTAATTACCACTGAGAAAGCTAAAAAAATTTGTCCATCCAGAAGTGTTTTTGTAAATTTCCACTTATGTAAAAATGACTTAATCGTAATTTAACCTTAAAATGAATAATGATATTGTGATGATTTATCAACTGGTTTATCCTAATATTATCATCAAGCAAATACATCTCAATATTATCATTGCTGTTGATATATGTCAACGAAGCAGGTTGAAATTGATGATAATAGGATTGCCATATTCGTCATCGTAACGATTCCAATATGAAGATCGATTCGACCATGCAACAACCAATTCATTTTTTGGTTCTACTGTTTTACATGGCCAAAATCCTTCCCTAAAATTTTATTTAAATATTATCACACAAATCTTAACATTGTAGATGTTAATACATTATCACTAAAGAAGGTCAAAATTAGTGATAATAGGATGATATTACCGCATTTGTCATTGTAATGATTCCATTATAAAGATTGCTCCCATCATGCAATAATTAACTTATATTTTTCATTCTGTTGTCTTGTATAGCCACAGTCCCTCCCTTCCTAAAAGTTGCATTTGACTAAGACAGTAGTAGTATGATTAAGTTTTTAACTTATTAAACCACTGCTACTAACCATCTTATCTTCTTCTACCTATGATATAGCTATTCTTTCTTAATTATTATTTTAACAGTTCTATAATAAATCTATAATGTCACAAAACTGTATGAAATAGATTTTATTATTAATTTTAACAATAAGAATATTACATAGCGATCACAGGTGTACAGTCTCGTTATGAGAAACATTTTCGGTAGTGTTGTTTAAAATGAAAAATTTTAAAAAGTTTAAGAATTTAGAACTAACTGAATGATTTTTTGACTAAGACGTAGTTCAATATGCTTCCCAAGACCTTGTCTTCGATGCTTTTCATGAACGAAATGATGATGAAAGATACCGTTTATGTTAAATATTTCATAAGCTACCGGTTCTCCTTGATGACGTATAATCACATTCGGTAGCATTCGTAATTTTTCTCTGTACGAATAATTAATTATATTACTGAATTGAACATAAATTAGACACATTTTTATAAATTTTCTATTCTTTAACATTATTAATTCAAGCATAAAGTTGTTAGGAAATTTTTTTTTTTTTTTTTTTTTTTTTTCACTTTTGACTATTTGTAAACTTGAAAAAAAAAAAGCCTTTTCTCTAACAATGATAATGTGATAATATATATTATCACACTAGAGAAAGTTAGTTTACTCTCTGTTCTAAGTAATAAGTGAAAGTTTATTTCATTTAAGATTAGTATGATAATATATAGATCTATAAAATTTGATTAATTAACTGGGAAAAAAAAAAGAACATTTGATGTAAATAAATTTACCTAAAGTCAACATTTCTATATCTAAGCAAATTTACCTAATTTGGTAATAATCAAAAATATTACTTATTTAGTTTACTTTCTACTGATTATAGTAAATTCATTTTTTAAAAAAAAAGGTAGAAAAGAAATTACGCAAAACATCGACAGTCTCCTTTATCAGCATATTGCCATGTATCATTGATTATCAATGCATCTTCCTCTGGTTTATCAACATTATAGTGATAATCAGATGATGGTAAAGACAGTTTCTCCTTCAATACTACTTCTTGCTGCTTTTCATTCATGTAATACATATACGTTGGATACATATTTTCTGTGTATGAAGTTTTTGATTTGATATAAATTGAAATCTATAACAGTATTGTTATCAGTTATCAATAGTTATCAACAACAATTTATCATTTCAAAATGTAGCAAAATCAGATGATGAGAGTTAATAGTAATAGTTACAATAATAACACATTTATTTAGAGTATATCAATAAACAAATCATCTAAATAACTTTTAAAATCGATCTTTGATCTTTTTTCTTCCATCAAAATTTTCCTTTTTTTTTTCTATCATAAAATATTCATGACAATAATAAATGTAACTTTTATTCTATTATTTTATACTATTTCTGATAAATTTATCACCTTATCAGATAAATAATTTGGATTGATAATAAGAATTTCTTTAGGTAATTCGACTAATTTGGTAAATTGATTGATTGCATCCAAAAATTCATCTTTTTTGTTATTCAGCCATGGTAAACTCCAAATAAGCAAAAATTTGCTGAAATTAAAATGATTAAGTTTCATTTAAATTTCATCTTTAAATTTTATTTAAATTCACTTTTACATCAATCAAAAATTATTAAACTAACACTCTGAAAGGATCATCGCCCAGTAAAAACCATAATTTAGATTCCGTAAATGGATAACCGAAAATGCGAAATTTCGATGTTGGATACCTATAAATTTAGCATAATCAAGTTTTAACATTTTTAACTTTTTTTTTTAAATTTTCCATAATTTTCCCGCATTTCAACTTTTTTTTTTGTCCACAATAATTTCAAAAAAAAAAAAAGAATCGAAAAAAAAATTCAAACTTTGATTTCAATAGGTACAAATGATATTGTCTTTTCCGGAAGAAACTTTTTTCCAAAAGAAAACATCATTTTGTGTTCAAATAGTTCAAAACATCAAACCAATTAATTAGTAAGCAGTTTGATGACAAAAAAAAAAAAAAATTTTTTTTTATGAAATTAAATAAAACGGTTTGACGACTAAAATTTTTTGCAAACCTGTTTTGGAAGGTCATATGCAACCGTACGTAGCTCACATGTCAACCCGAGCAATCCCTAATATAACTGAGAAATAAAAAAAGTTATTCAAAAAATTCTTTTGTCTAATTAACTAACTAAATTGATTTTTTTTTTCTTTTAAAAAAAAAGGAAAAGAAATATGAAGAATCATTAAACATTAAAAATTTCATACAATATAATGCTAATTCTAATTTTAATAAATAAATAAATATGCTTCATTTCGATACTTAAGTTTCAAATTTGAATAATAAAATTTCAAACTTAATTGCACACCGCTTTCTTCCAGCAATAAGAAAAAAAAAAAAAAATTAACTGTTAGAGAAACTTAACTTTTAATTCGATGAATTCGCACAGTATTATAAATTGGTATCATATGAGGTGAACAATTCATCAACATCCGAAGTGCTTCATCCAAATCATCGTCCGATATAAATTCACGAAGTGTACACATTGTAGTAAATTAAATAATTCAACAATGAAACTAAAAAATTGAACAATTAAAATTCATTGTCGCTGTATATTATTATTTATTATTGTTATTTTAATTTTTAAAATTATTACAAAAACAATGCTAGCAAAGATTTTCATTTAATTTTCATTTCATTTTATGCATACAATATGAAAATTATCAATTTCCTAAATAATAACTGTAAATAATGGATGTTGAATATTTTCAATTAGCATAATTAATATTTTAGTGATAAATACTATCAATCAGTGATTAGTAAGTCGGACTATAACTTATCATTGTGATTCTTATCATTCTTTCGTGATTACTTCTTTGATGCAATAATATGTGACAATTTTATGTCGGAAATCTTTGATGGAATTATGGAATGATGAGAAAGGGAAAATATGACATGTTATTGATATGATGTGATATGATATGATATGATAGTATTATTGTCAACACTCAGTCTTTTTTCTTTCTTTCACTCTCCCTCCCTCTCTCTTTCACTCTCTCTCTCTCGTTTATTTAATAAAATAAATAATACTTTCTTATTTACTTTAAAAAAAAACAGAACTTTTGGCTCAAAGGGCATCATTACATTGTCTAATATTTACAATGCCAAATTCATACACACACACACACACACACACACACACACACACACACACATACATAAGCAAATAGACGAGTAGATAGAAACACATACATACGTACACACACAGAGACATACATCCACAGACACATGGAGACATACACACACACACACACATACATACACATACACACATTCAGCATTCAAACTAAATAGATAGAAGTTTGGAAAGGATTGTGTAAACATTTTTCATTGCGAAATGACAGCAACAAACTGATAACAGAAAGTATTATCGAACATCGAAGAGAAATCACACCAAATACTTATATTAAACAAAGGAATTAATCAAAATATTCATTTCAATTCAATTCATTTCATTTCATTTTATATTACATTTCATTTTGTTCCATTTCATTTCATTTCGTTCCATTTCATTTCATTTCAATTCATTTTTGTTACATTTCTTTTTGTTCCATTTCTTTCATTTCAATTCATTTCATTTTCATTATATTTCATTTCACTCCATTTCATTTCATTTCAGTTCATTTTTATTACATTTCATTTCGTTCCATTTCATTTCAATTCAATTCAATTCATTTCATTTCAGTTCATTTTCATTACATTTCATTTCGTTCCATTTCATTTCAATTCAATTCAATTCATTTCATTTCAGTTCATTTTCATTACATTTCATTTCGTTCCATTTCATTTCAATTCAATTCAATTCAATTCATTTCATTTCATTTCATTTCAGTTCATTTTCATTACATTTCATTTCGTTCCATTTCATTTCATTTCAATTCAATTTCATTTCAGTTCATTTTCATTACATTTCATTTCGTTCCATTTCATTTCAATTCAATTCAATTCATTTCATTTCATTCAATTCATTTCAGTTCATTTTCATTACATTTCATTTCGTTCCATTTCATTTCATTTCATTTCATTTCATTTCATTTCATTTCAGTTCATTTTCATTACATTTCATTTCGTTCCATTTCATTTCAATTCAATTCAATTCATTTCATTTCATTTCATTTCAGTTCATTTTCATTACATTTCATTTCGTTCCATTTCATTTCAATTCAATTCAATTCATTTCATTTCAGTTCATTTTCATTACATTTCATTTTTTCAAAGAGAAAAAAAGATTGAAAATTTCGTTTTTATTACACTTTTGATTTTCAATTTTTAATCAATAAATTTTACTTACAAAATTAGATGAGAGTTTTAGAATTTAAATAAATTAATGAACGAAAGCAAAATGATATTTTTTATAAAATGTGAAATATGCTTAAATTTGATATAAAATGATTTGAATTTTTCTTTTTTTTTTGAATAAAAAAATTTTTATATAATAAAATTCTTTTAGATAATGGAAGAAACAAAAAAAAAAAACAAAAGCTATCATATCAATTTCAACTTTAATCCATAAAAAATCTTTTTTTTTTTTAAATATGAAAATTTGTTATATAAATGAATCAATTTCAAACTGTTTTTTTTTTTTTTGCAATTTTAATTCTTTTCTTTTTCCTTTTTTTTTTTTTTTTTTCATCATTTAATCTCAGAAATTTTCATACAATAAAAATATCACTACTTTATCAATTTTAGAATGATTTTTTGCATTTTTAAATTTAAACATTTAACTATGAATTTCCATTATTGTTTTTTTTTTTTAAATTTTATTTCAAGTTAATAAAAAAAAAAAAAGAGTAAAAATTAGATTCAAACTGCAATTTAAACATTGAAGCATTTGTATAATTGATGTATGATCTCTATGGAAAATGTCTTTCGTCTAAAAAGTATGTCATTAAATAGCATTTGTCTTCTTTCTTCATTTTCAACATTTTTTTTTTTTTTTTTCTTTTTGTCAAATGCTTCCGAAAATATCGATCATAATGTCACCGAACCATTCGTATATTATCATCCATTCAAATTGGATGACATCTTTAACAAGTTAGTAGCAACTTTTCTTCTTCTCTCTCTTCCAATTCTCAACTATCTCTTTCCTCTGTCATATTTGTCACCACTCTTCTCCTCTTTCACATCCCACGATCACATCTCATCTACATACCTCTCCTACCCATGTTACCACATGCTGAGGAAATTGCTACTTTTTATTATTGGTGTATATTTAGTAGTATGTTGATCTTTCAAATACTACAGTTAAATAATTAAACAATATGTTAAAGTATTATAATCTTTTATTTTAGATATTTATTGTCTTTTTTTTTTTTTTTAAAAAAAAAACATATTTGAAACTTAAAGAACTAGAAGAAAATGAGAATATTTCAAAAATTGCAAATATTTGACCTTTTTTCTCGATTCAAAAAATAGGATTTGACAAATTTTTGCTATTCTTTTCCCTAGATAGATAATTGTTTTTTTTTTCTTTCCACTTTCTCTCTTCTTTTTTTGATTTTCAAAAAATTTCTTTTTCTTTTATTACTATTTAATCTTTTTTTTTTTTCTTTTTTTGTGATGTAAAATTTTTTTTCTCGATAATTTCTTATACTGTTAAAATGTGCTAATAAAAAAAGAATTGAATTTGTACAATATTCTCTATCTACGAAAGAAAGCAATTGAATTTTTCTCAAACTTGAAATTAAACTCCTTTTGTTAAGATAATTTATTTCTTTTCAAAATTAAATTTAAAAATTGAAAAGAAAAGAAAAAAAATCTTCCAATTCTATTCTAATCATGAAGAAATTCACATTCTTCTGCAACGTATTTTAATTTTTTATTTATTTGTCAGTTTATATATTTATATATAACAAAGACATCTATCTAAACGTGGCTATCTCGAATGATCTTTAAAATTCAGCAAAAATCATCTTATTTGTTCAGTAATCGTGTTATTTGTTTGGTTGAAAAAGGATTTACAATGTCAGTTGTTACTGAACTATTAAGTACCGATGTTTTCACGACCACAGGGTGATTGTCGTCGACTAACAATGGAATGATAAATTCAATAAATTGAAATTGCTCATTTTTCAAATTTGTAGGAAAAAAAAAATCTTGAATTAAATTTTGCTGTTTAAGAAATGAATGTTTTAAAAATTAACCACTTAATTCAATAACAGCTTAATAATTCAATAACAACACTAAAAAAAAAAAAAAAAAGAATTTAAATTTCTTCTCAAAAAATCAAAACAATCGATTAATTTGAGTGAATTTTAAATGTCATTTGGTATAGCCAACTCAAATAATCCTATTGAAATAAATGATGAACCAATAATACACTTTTTTTAAATAAACATCTAAATATTTTGCTTAAAGAAAAGGAAAAATTAAGCTGTTGAAGAATTTTCCACAATTTTGAGGATTTTCAGCTTTAAGTCAGAATTATCAATTTTCAAAAATGAAATATATACAAAAGCAATGCTTTTGAAAAGTTTAATTTTTCCTTGAAATTTTAAAATGAAAAAGGAAAACAATCAACTACATAAAATGAAATTCAGATGCACTGAACTATTGCAATTCCAAACTTTACATATACTTCAAAGAATGACTCAAATTCATTGAGCTAAAACCCACTCCTCATCCAGTGTCCTGAATCACAGTTGACCCTTGACCCAAGAGTGATGGATGACAAACAGATTGAAGTGCTACTATCTTTGCTACCCTCTCCTAATTTCATGCTATTTCTCCAAAATTCATTTACACTGCATATGGCATTTTCAAGTGCTTATCTAGTCTTCTATCATTCTCTGCGCTCTCTCCGCGCTCCAGGCTATTTTTCGAGGATGACTTTTTCATTTGTTATTTCAAGAATTTGCAATGCCTTTTATTTGGAGCACTTGGACATGTGATGTGTCAGAGAGTGTCATAAGAATAGCTCTGTCATCTCTTCCACCGCGATTTCCTGGAGCTCTCCCCCGAGATTTCCTGTGGTCTTACATAAAGCGGATATAGCTGAATATTATAATGTGCTATTCCATTTTACAAAAGAATTTATTGGTGAAATTCGTGTACACTTCATAAAATTTAAATTTCCTAAAAAGATATTTTTACTATTATTTCTTTCATTCGGTTCAGTGTTATCTGATCTTTCCGTTGACTTATCACTTTTATCACATCCATCATCTATGATATCACCGTAACGGAAACTTTTGTTTCACATCACATTTTTATTCCATGTGCTACTATCGGTTTTTTTTTTTTTTTTTTGGCAAAATTTTTAACTGATTCGAAGTAAAAGTTGCAGAAAGCCATGGATGATGTTTCTGTTGACAAGACTGATTATACGTTAGCAAATTTGATGCCAAAAGTGGAAACACAGCAGGTTAATTTCAATTAAAAATTTTGGTAACTTTATAAATATCTATAATTGCTCTCTTTGATCTCTGATTACAGTAACTTTGAAAATATGGCAATATCATTTTTATGGTATATTTGTACCACAATCTTTCTGGTATTGAATACAAAAAGAGAAAATGGTAATAATAGATGTGAATCTATTGAAATCACTTGAGCACTTTATATGCTTGCTTTTTACTTTCTAGACATTGCTGTGGAGAATTTCTTTTCGTATTATTTACTGGTGTGGAATAGTTCATTGTTAAATTAATATAAAATGTTTCAAAAACGGAGAGATTAATTCTTTTAGATTTTATTCCTCTAATTTATTGAAATGATTTTTTTAATAAATTTGAACTGTATAAAATAATATCTTGAATTTATTAAGTCTTTCTCTCTAGCCCTACTTTTCATCTACAACATTTACTGTACGTTATCGTCCTAAACGAGTATACGAATTGAAGAGTAAGTGATCAAAAGTAAGTGATCAGAAAAAAAAAATATATATATATCTGCTTGTTAGCCATCTAAAAGATATTAGGATGTTCATTCTTAAATTTATGAATGAAAAGGTGCTAGTCGACTTCAGTGCAGTTTGTGATACTTTGGCGTGATATTGGTTGATTTTAAAAAGAAATGAAATCCCTGAATACGCTAATAAGCAAGAGAACACGGTGAAAAATAATGGAGGAAGTTAACGAACTGAAAAATTAAGGAACAGTTTCTAACGAAATATCCAGAATACGATGGTAGGAATATTATTATTGGCATATTGGATACAGGCATCGATCCATCACTTCCTGGATTACAGGTAAAAAATTTCTCAAGTTTTCTAGTTTTTTGTCATAGAATAGATGGGATATTTATTTTCTTTTTTATTTTAAACTTAAAATTAGTTGATTTTGACATAAAATTACTCACCTTTCATTAACTCCAGGATAAAGTAATGATTTTAGATTTATAATGAAATTATTACTTAAAAAAAGAAGCCTAATATTGGAAATGATTAGGTAACGAGTCATGGACTGCAGAAAGTGATAGATGTAATAGATTGTACAGGAGCGGGCGATGTGGATACATCGACAGTGCGTACAGCTACGGATGGTTATGTTACTGGACTTACGGGAAGAAAGCTAAAGGTTATAAGTATATCGAAGTTAAAAAGCTAATGTTTCAGCTTCAGGAAGTTTTGATGGGTATTTCTTCATCGTTGTTGAAATAATTGTAATTTCAGTCAGATTTCAGATTCCAGAAACTTGGGTTAATCCAAGTGGTAAATATCACTTAGGAATAAAGCCAATTTATGAATTATACAGTAGAACTTTATTGGAAAGGATAAAGGTAAAATATTACTTTTGACAAAATTTAATTTGCAAGAATTTTTGATTAAATTTGTGAATGGTTTACCAACTTATTTTCATTTCATCTGTTAAGCTGTTTTTTCATTCATGGCTAAGATCTGATAAAAAAATCTGCGATGTCTGGAAACTTACATTACAGTTTGTTGAATTACAAGTACAAGCTTAGCATAATTTCCATTTCCTTTTCTTAATCCATTTTCTTGAGATATCTTACTTCAAGATGTATTCATTTTTCACTGTATCTTATGGAACAAAAAATTGAACTGATTGTTTTCTTTCTATTATTTGCAGAAGGAAAGGAAGGAAAATCTTTTTGATAGCGGACAGAAATTAGCAATGGCCGACGCAATGCGTCAGCTCGTTGCGCACGAAGAAGCAGTCGGTGGGACATCTGATAAAATAGTAAGTTTTTGGCGTAGTGCAAAATAATATAGAAAACTAGGAAAAAAATTTTTTTTTAAATTTTTTTGGTTTTTTTTTTTGAGATTTATTAGAAAATTTCTTTTCACTGAACTTAATTTGAAAATATCAAGTTTTATTTTTCAAATTAATCAGCTATGATAAGTACGAAATAGTTGTTAAAAGAGAAATTATGTGCTTATCTGTGATAGCGTTAATAATTAACACTGAAAAAGCAGTTCGGTACAGGGCGATAATCTCGTTAATAGCAACTGTATGATCATTTCCGTGTATAATGAAAAAAAAAAAAAAAAAAAGGAAATGGACAGTGAAATGTTAAGGTCGGATGACTACGAAATTTAATCCTGGATTATATATGGCCATCATCATAATGCTCTCCTTTTAGAGTGATAAGGAAGATAGAGAAGAACTTTCGAGTCAAGTAGAAATATTAAAAAGTTTGGATAAAATGGATGATCCAGGGCCAGTTGCTGATTGCATTGTTTTTCATGACGGCACGAAGTTTAGGTATAATTAATAAAAGTGTCACTTCTTATGCTAACTCACCCATTCATATGAAAAAAACAGAATGAGGTGACGTTTTTCATAGAAATGGTATAAATGCATGTTACGTTGCATAAATCAGTATAAGGGTTATTGAGCCAAGGAGATAACAGTTTCTAATTTTATCAATTGCAGATGTTAATTATGTCTAATGTATTTCAGAGCTTGTATAGATACTTCATATCGTGGACGTTTAAGCTTAGCACCTCTACTTAGCAGTTATCGTGATAGCGGTAAATATTACAAACTCTCCGACAGTGGTAATTCATTTTTCATTTATTTGAGAATGATATTTCTTTTTTTTTCCTCATCATTACTGATAAGAGTACAACACGATATGATCTACTAAGCTTTAATGTGCATTATTATACGTTGATATAAAAATTTGCTTCTGTTTGACCTTTTGACGGTTAGACATACAGCAGAATGATGGTGATAGAAAAGTGGACTTTGGATAAATTATTTAGAGCTATTAAACTAAGAATGATTTTGTTTTATAGAGAATGCTTTAATCTAAAGTGGTGAATTTATATTTGAATATGTTTGGATTAATGCATTTAATTTACGAAGGAGTGCCTCCTTATAGTACTTATGACAGCATAAGTAGGCATTTGACAAATTGGAACCACTAGGAATGATTTTTGTTCGGAATAAAAAATAAAAATCTGCATTAAAATAACCAAATAAATGCTATAACCATTAATGTACCGAAAGAATAAATTACTGCATATAAAGGATCTACTAAATCGAATATTAGATTGTCTTTGATGATTATGACTTAGAAATTTTACAGATATGCTGACGTTCTGTATCACCATACATGATAATGGTAATTTGTTGGAAATATGTGTCCCTTCTGGTAGTCATGGATCTCATGTTGCAAACATCGCCGCTGCTTACTTTCCTAACGTTAGTTTCTTGATAAAATTGTCTACTTAATGCTCTGAAAATATTTTCCGTAGAGAAAGCTTCAAGTGATATTCTTTCGAAAAAAAAGAACTATGTCTTTCAGGAGCCTGAAAAATCTGGATTAGCTCCTGGAGCTCAGATTGTTTCTCTTTGCATCGGTGATCATCGTCTAAAAACTATGGAAACGGGTGCTGCACTTACTCGGGCTGTAAGTTATTATTTTTTGCTTAGAAACTGCGTTTCGAAATATTAAGTTAAAGGCTGATTTTCTCAAAAATGTTTAGCTAAGTCGCTGTGCTGATTTGGGTGTACATCTCATCAATTATTCCTATGGTGAAGCGACAAATTTTCCAAATTCGGGGTGAGTAATCTGTGTTATTCATGTTGTTTTTTATTATTATTTTATTATTGTACATGCTGTATACATTTTTGCTAATGTTTATTTTCAGTCGTATTATCGAGGCTTTAGATAGGGTAGTAAGACGACATGGGATATTATTTTTTTCATCAGCGGGAAACTGTGGTCCAGCTTTATCAACTGGCGGATGTCCAGGCACAACTACTACTTCAGTTATCGGTTTGTTTTTCTTTTTTACTTTTTATCGATTTTAATAGCGTACAATTTTATAGGGTTTTTTTAGAAAAAAACAAATTTATTAGCTTATAAAATTTGTTCCTAAAATCTCTATTCTTTCTACAGGAGTTGGTGCATATCTTTCACCCACAATGATGGAAGCAATGTATAGTATGCGCGATAAGATACCTCCAACATTGTATCCATGGTCGTCCAGAGGCCCAACGTAAGAATATTTCTAGTGAAACGGTTTTCATTAGAAAGTTTTTTGGATTTCTCAAAAAACTCTACCGGTTAACAGAGAATTTTTATTCAGGAATTTAGAAAAGCTTTAGCATTTGAAAGAAACAACTGTCAGAAGAAAGAATGAAGTGAAGAATAGAAATTTAAAACTCGCGAAAAAAAAATTATGAATAGAAGTAAAAATTAGAAATAAAAATATGTATAAAAGGGATTAAAATGACATAACTGTTGCTGTTGTAAGTGGGAAAATGATTACAAATAAAGGTAAGCCAGATGGTCACAAATGAACGGAAAAATATATCTAAAATCTTTTCAGAGCTGATGGAGCATTAGGTGTATCGATTTGTGGTCCAGGTGCTGCTATTACAAGTGTGCCTAAGTTTACATTGAAGGCAAGTCAACTAATGAATGGTACCTCAATGAGTTCACCAAATGTTACAGGAACTGTCGGTGGGTAATTAAATTCTAAGTTCATTTGAAACTTAGATGTGTTTTTAACAGAATATATGTTAATTTTAATTCTACCACTGTACGGTAAACTGATTGTCCATGTTGAAGTATTTTTGGTGATTTGAGAGATTTTCCTCCATTATAAGATATTCACATCTTCATGTTTATTTTGTTTGTGAAATACGTTATGGTTCCATGTTTTTTTTTTAGCATGTTTGCTTAGTGCTTTGAAAGCACAGAGCATTTCATGGAGTCCATATCTAATTCGATTGGCTTTGGAAAATACTGCCCGATTACCAAAAGATCAAAATCGTTTTACTGTTGGCAGCGGATTATTGCAGGTTGTTTTCATTGGTTGTAAAAATTTTCTAAAACTTACTTTGGGATTTAGATTTAACATTGCCTTGTGAAAGGTGATTTCTATAGCATAACAGAAAAATCTCCGACACTTATTTTAATATGTTGAAGGTAGACTTGTTAGTCTTGTCTAGCATCCCGTGAGTGATAACTCAATATTAACTTGGGGAGTGACAACTCAATTTATGATTAGTAAGTTGATTTCCTGTAAAATTACATCCTAACGCAATTTAATTTGTCGCAGGTAGATGATGCATACAATTTCATCCATGATCATCAGTCATTAATTTCACCCTTGCTTACACATTTCAAAATTAAAATCAATGATGTTAATGCACGTGGAATTTATTTGCGTGAGCGCTACCAAACATGTTATATGGACACCTATGTTATCGCTGTGCAGCCAGAATTCAAACCGGAATCAGGTACATCACTTTTATTTATTTATAGCTTACTTTCCGAAATGAGGCGAAATACTACTTTCATCAGGTTTTTTACATTTAGTTTTTTTTTCTCATATGAATTATCATATTTAATGTTTACCTTTTATCCCCGTGTTAGGATATGCTTTAAATTGTATTGGTACTTATTTTATCTATTACATTTATTAGATTACTTAGTGACACTACTTATCATTCCAGTTCCTCTGTTGCTGTAAAATTTCTTCTTTCAGATAATGATGCAAAAATAGCATTCGAGAAGCATTTAGTGCTAACATGCGTTGCATCTTATGTCAAATATCCAAAACAATTTACATTAATGCATCAGGAACGAGAATTCACCATATCATTGGATCCAGTGGGTCTTGAAGCTGGTGTCGCTCATTTTACTGAAGTAAGTTAATAATTATTTAATTTGGTGTTAATTCCATCATCTGAATTTCTACTATGACTAGTAAATGAGCTACGTCTTAAGAGGTTAGATGATACCACCATTCACTAATATCCGCTGTTTCTGAAGTAACGCGTATAACGCAATCATATAAAGAGTTTCTTTTCCGTTTAACCATGGACGGAATTCTGTTTTAGTTCCAGTAAATCTATCCATTATGATCATTTCAGATCTAAATGCTGTTATAATTGTACTATTTTATTTGCAGATATGTGCTTATGACTCCGAGAACATTTCACTTGGTCCATTATTCCGTATACCGATAACTGTGATTATTCCGCTATGTTTGGATGACAATTCACGATATACAATAAAACGGAAGTTACAGTGTAAGCCCGCAAGTCCGGAGAGACTTTTTATTCATGTGCCTGAGGATGCTGATTGGGCTTGTAAGTTGTTTTAGCACTTATTTCTATTTTTTACACGCTGTTTGCAGAGAACCTTTTGTTCTATTCTGTACATGCTTATTTTTACATTTATTGTTTTTTCTTTTTCTCATATTTGTTTTCATGTAATATTTTATTCTCATATGCAAGACCTTTTTTACAGGTTTGAAATTGACATCCTGTGGGACACAGCTGCAAGCAAAATATGTTGCCCATATTGTCCAACTTTTACCGAATACGGCCTATCGTTCGACTGAATTTCATAAGGTGAGAAATTTTTAATTTAAACTCTTTGGCTGTTTTTCCACACCTCATTTTATGCTAATATTAACGTATCTTTCAATACGTATTTTAGATAGATATCTTGCTGTTGTATTTCCTTACATCAATGTTTTTACTAATTCTTCTTAGTAAAGAGCTAGATAATTAAATGGAAGTCAGACTTTAAACCCTTTTTAGACGATTTCATTAGAGCAAAATCAAGAAGAGCAGTTTGCTGTCCCATTGCGTGGCGGACGTACCATGGAGTTGTGTATAACCAAATGGTGGTCTAATTTGGGTGAAGCAGTAGTGGAAGCTGAATTAGTATTTCATGGTGCTCTTCCTTCACCTTCTAGATTAAACATGGTATGTCTTTTCAACATCTGATAACTATGAGCTTCACTATATCATCTGGTCATTTATCACCAGCAAAGTATTGCGCCTTTCTTTAACTAAGATAGATATTTGAGTTTATGAAACTATCTTTGAACAAATTCAAATTTTTGTAAAATTACTTAGAAGTCTTAAGTGCACCTAAGCTAGAACAAGCACTTCGCGTCTTACACTCTATGTTTTCCATATAAATTATGTTCTAATTTTAATAAAGATTTTTTTTTTTTTTTTTTCAGTTTTCAACTGAAACACCATTTCATTTTACCGTACGTAATTCGATGATGAGATTTGAAGATGTGCGACCGGCTGTAACATTCCGCCATATATGTCAACCATTTCGACCAGCGGAAGCAAAAGTGCAACCTCTTGGACCACGTGATCTCTTCTTTTCCGGCTTGCAAACTTTTCGTTTGCTACTCACATATAACTTCTCTTGTTAGTTTCATCTTGAACTCATTCTTATATTCATTGACGAATCTGTTGTTAACAATCAAAAATACAGAATATTGATTAGATTCTTTCAATATTAATGAAATCTGCAAGCTTTAAAGACCAATTTCATCATGATTATATCGTTTTGAATTAAGGCAATGCAGCGATTACATTTAAAAGATTGTTGCATGCATAAATAAACTAATGTTGGTTTTTAGTACAAAAAGCAACCGATGCATATGTTGAATTACCTGGTATAACTGACTACCTCTATGAAAGTGCGTTTGATGATGTACATATTATGATTTTCTCTGCAACAAAGCAGTATATTGGAAGCAGTGCTTCATATCCTGATCGGGTTTTCCTTTTTTTTTTCTTTTTTTCTTTTCATTTAAAAATTCATAAGTTTAATAAAAATAAATTGACATGTGGCAATATGAAGCAAAGTGCTTTATAAATCTATCGGATCTTTGCTTGAGTTACTTAATATCTTAAAGAAAAAGGTGTTTCATTCTTGGGTCATATGTGAAGTAAACTAATTAAGGTGAAGTAAATATGTTACATAATAATTAACATATTATATATTAATTAAATAACCAAATTGTCCGTAATATAAATATCAAGATTGTTAATGCAATATGCTTAGAGATTTAAACACATCTGTTTGTGAGTGTAATTGCTTTTCAGTTTTAGTTTCCATTCGGAATAACTGAACAATTAGTTAAAAACAATTATTTAAATATATTATTATTATGCTAATTGCTACGAGATGTGTAATTTCAGTATGTCGTGAAATTAGAGAAGGGCGAGTACCGAGTTCGTGTACAGATTAGGCATGATGATGCATCGTTATTGGAGAAATACCGTGAAACAGTCTTAATTTTAAGGCTGAAACTTGCAACACCAATAAGTTTGGATTGTTTTTCTGATTATGAAAGTGAGTTTTTTTTTCAGTCTCAGTTGGTTTTTATGTAAAACTAATTTTTTCTACAATTAAGTTTACATGAAATTTCATTAAATTTCTGTTGCTTGTGTTGATTTCGGAATATAAAATGCTATTTTCATTTTGAATAGAACTTAATTCTTTATCTTGTTTTAAGCTTTCTCGTCACTTCCTTGTTGTAAAGAGATTTTATAAATAAGGAAGATAAGTACTGTTTATTTTATGTGCGGCTATATAAAAATCTTTTCAGGAATATGAGAATCTTTTTACATAATGAAAAGAAAAATTGTTTTATTCGTTTTAAAAAATGAATTTGTTTTAAAATTAAGGATTGCTCATCCCAGTATTTGTTCTCAGTAAAGTATAAAGGATTATAGTATAAAACATTTTTCAAAATATCAGTTATCTCTAATTTCAGGTGCTGTAAGAGGGGAGGGGAAAAAATTTGGCACGAAGAGAATGAAACCAGGTGAAATTGGTGTGGTATACATTGGTCCAGTTCCGGAAGATAAGTATGTGTCTTTTTGTTTTTTCTTTTTATTTTCACTTATACAGTCGAGTATTTTTCTCTGAAGATTACAATTGAACAACTTTGCTTCAGACTTCCGAAATTTGGTTGGCCTGGTTGCTATTTAGCTGGTGCACTCTGTTTATCAGATATTGAATTAGCTCGAGGTCACGTACAATATCAAGTGACGTATACATTTCCGGAATGGACTCATAAGCAAACCAAAACTGTTTCATCTGTTGCATTAGTAAAAAAGAAGGAAGATTTTGCTGCTGATTCTATGCAAGCTATGAATGGTATTAGTACAGTTTTTATTGAGTTAAAAGGGATTCATTTATCTGTTCGTAACTGATTTTAACAAATAAATAATTATACCATATGAATAGCATTCATATGAAATTGGTCTGTCTGTTGTGTGTGATGTGAAGTTTAGCATATTTGTTCAGACTTGTTTTTATTACGACCAAATCAGCCTGATATAATAGAATGAAATTACATAAATGTTCTAATACTTGCTAAGATGGTTAGAATGATTTTGATTTTTTTTTTTCTTTTTTTTTTGTTTGTTTGATTGAATATTTAAATTATTGCAGAGGCATTACGTGATTTTTATGTACAATGGTTAGGAAAATTACAAGATGTTGTGGATGCAAATGATTTATATGGTCATTTAATTGCTGAAAATCCAAAGAATTTGCGAATCATGCAAGCGCAACTGAAACGCTTGTTCGACCATAGAGTATTATCTTTTTTTTTTTTCTTGAAATATATTTCTTTTCATTTGTTCTTAAAATTTGCACTTTTCTTTTTTTCGTTTTTTTTTTTTTTTTTTTTTTTTTTTGAACTGGTTATGATTGTTTGTGATGACGTGAATCATTTATATCATGAATTAGTTATTGCCTTCCAACAAGTTTATAAAAAAAAATTCCAACAAGATTATAAGAAAAAAATAACAACAAGATTATAAAATTTAATCTGCTCATTCAAAAAGTTTACGATTACAGTGTAATCCAGAAAATCATAGTCGAATTCTGGAACTGGTAGATGCTATTCTTGATGCAGCTAAGCCAGATGAAGTATTAAAATACTTGGGCTCTAAACATGAAAACAGTGAAAGTGATATTATTATCAAAGCGTTGGTTTATTTCCTTTCAAATTATTTTTGAGTGAGCAAAGCTCCTTAAATTTTTTGTGTTCACTTCTGATGCTTTTTTGATATCCCCGTATATTAACAAATCACGGATTCAGTTTATTTCTTTTCAACTTGATTAATGATAATGAATTAATGCTAGGAACTTTTTTTGAATTCTCACCTGCTTCAGAGACATGGACAGTCGTAAAAATGCCATTATCGATGCATTAGTCATCAAAGCAGATGCATTAGTTGATGAACACTTGGCAATTAGTACCCAGGAAATACCAAAGTCTTTTCGACATGGTTTGAATGTTGATGTTGGTACAAAGACCGAAAAAACTTCGCAAGCAAGTGGAGAGCTCACCAAAAAATCATCAATTAGCGATTTCCAGGTGTCTTACAAGTAATTTCAATGAAAATCTTTTGCTGAAGCACAATTATTAAATGTACTTTATAAATATCCAATAATTAGCACTATACATTGCAACATATAATTCTGAACATTATGAGCTAAATGAAATTTAATGTTAATTGTAAGGAAAGATCAGGGACTGGATATATAGACTGGATAGTGTAATATGAAATGTTCTGACTAACGTATTTAACTTTAATAATACTTGTAAATGATTTTTCGATTAATATTTGACAAATATTCTAAATGAATTTTTGATTAATAATTCTGAAATATTTCGTGACAAAAAGCAAGAAATTTCAGTTGATAGAAGATACAAAGAAAAAAGATACAGAAGATATTGGTGTTGGTGGAGCAGGTGATTTGCTAGCAACACTAGAATCAGATCAAGTAACTGATACTTTACCAACAGCTATTGAAACTGCAGAATCAGATCAGCCAAGAAGAACTGTAGGTTCCCTTTCATTAAAAATTTCTTTTTTTTGTTTGCTAACTTATTGCTATACTTTTGTTTTTGTTTTAAAAATGTTTTAAAACGAAAAGTAAGAATTATTTATAACATCAGATGCATGCTTAAATCTCAAGTAGTTCATTTGATGGTGTAAACAGAGAAAAAGTTAGGCATAATGTCATGGAGATGTACATTACAACATCCATTCATTAATTATTTCTTATTTCTTCACTCTCTATGATTTGTCTTCAAATATGGCTTGAAGTTTTTAAACTAAACTGTAATCGCTTTTCCAGGTAAAAGTTACGCTGAAAGAAGTCGATACTGCGTACTATGAAGTTTTAAAATGGTTAGAAGCGACTGATTCAAAGGTTTTCATTTATTTTCTCGAAGTTTTATATGCAACTTATTCAGCAAATATATTGAAATATATGGTTAAATGGTTGTCATCGTAATCTTCGATATAATGTTTAATAGTGATAATAATATTTCTCTAATAATAATAATATTCTTTAATAATATTTCTTATAGCGCTTTGTTTTGAGAATATATTTTGTGAAGGTACATATGTTAGTACATAAAGTTTAATAAAAAAGATAATACTAAATGCTTAGGCTTTACTAGTCATTGTCACTAATGAATATAATCACATAAACATTAGAATATTCTTTCAAAACGGTTGTTGCATGTTTAATTGATGTGCAGTATTTCATTTCGAATTGTTTATAGAATTTTTTTGCTCGAAAGAGAAAAGAGACCTGTTGTCTGTTGACAATATAACCAATAATTTAATATTCTGATACGTATGCATAGCGGTTAAAATAAGTACAATAGCTCTTCGAAAAAGTTTTATAAGTTACAAGTATGGAATTTTGACCCGAGGTTTCTTTCTCAGGTGTTGATATTATCTGCAAAGCAAGCTGTTGCACATGCCCATTACGGTCGAGCATTGAAGTACTTGAGAAAGGCAGGTGACGATAAAAATTTTGCAAATAATTTGGTTGTGGAAGCGGCAGTTATTGAGGTAATATAAAAATTTTTTTTTTATGTTTGTAAAAAGTGAAATTCAATGAAATTTGAATTTTCATTTCCAGTTTTGGGAGCAGAGTAACATTAAAAATATAATGGGTTTTTCTTTAATGGAGGGCTGTAGGTCTTATGGGTAGACTGATTATATTTTTTGAAATAAAAGATTGATCGATGTCTGTAGATTTTACCTTTTAATGATAGCTATTCTGTTAGATACGATTTGATACAACCGATAAAGAAATATTTATTACCGTACATATGAAGGAAGATAGGAAGTAATGTAGTATATGAAGATAGCGTTCATCTTCAAAGAATTTAGTTCTATTTCAACGCTTTCCTCTTTTTAATCAGATATTTATTGGCGCGCCATTAATTATGAGATTGCAGTAATTAGTAAAGCGACAATAAATTAATCGAATTTTGATCGTAAAGGAACTAAAGGGATTGTTTTGAAGGTCAAAAAATAATGAGAATTTTTGCAAGTTTGAAAGTAGTAGAATGGAAATTTTTACCAATTATCAAGATCTTTTTTTTTTTCTGCACTTTCATTTTTAGCTTGTGGAACAACTCGGCTGGGTGCACATTGCAAATAATTTGCGAAACCAAATGATTATCAAATATCGCAACGACTATCGTCTGTTTTGAATGTGTTATAACTGTTATTAAACACTCATTTGGAAAGTAGAATTTACATTAAATAAATATACAGAATTCATTTTTGCATATCTTTTAACTCGACTTTGAAACTGATGATAATGATGATATTTGATAATTCTCTTTGCATGATATCTCAAAGGTAAAGTTGATTGATTTTTGTGAACGGTGAAGGATTTTTATTTTAGTAAATAAGTTTCATTTTTTTTTTTTTTTTCCCTGCTTTTCTTCCGTAGATTTGCTTTTAAAACACTAGATGAGAAATCTCTTTAATCGGTTTAATTAACAGTTTTTCTTCTCATATCATACTCTTTCGTTCGCTGTTGTTTTCTTGTAATTGATTAATTTTATAACTTTAACTCGTATTAAATTCTTCCGAAGATAATGCTCTGTTAATTGGTATTTCTGTGGTGGTGTCGACGAATATTTAAAAATTCTAAAAAAAAAAATTCAATAACTAGTCGATAGAATTTGTACACCGTAATCATACAATGGTTTTCAGTTCTCTGATTGATGGACTAGATTATTTTTATAGCATTTTTAGATTCATTTTTCATTTTGCAGTTTTGTATATGAAAATTTGAAATTTCAAATAAATTTACAATCAAGAAATATCCAACAGGATGCGTTCTAATTGTTGAAATTCTTTTAACATCATTGCCATCATTTATGACTAAATGCTAATTTAAATGCCACTTTAAATAATATACGGTGAGACTTGATATTTCCATGATAAGTCCGTAATAAGCACAGAATGAAGTCAATCTGAGATTTGAAACTTTGGCACAACTAACATTTGAAAAATTTTAATCAAATTTCGTCAAAAGAAAAAATGCATTTCCATTTCCTTTGTTATGTTTATTTTTCCCCACTTAGGTAACTCTTCTTTTTCCTTTGGGAATTTTTTTATTTTCAACATATTATTTAGGATGTCAAATGACCATAATGTATGTGACCAGTTCCCGCACTATGCCATATTCAGTTCATAACTTTACAATACAACCAGCAATTTACTCTTTCATCAAGATGAGATAACAAATCTATCAGTTCTCGAAGAGATGCGATTAATACATCCATAAGAAACAGTTAGCATTCTGGTAAATCAAGTGGTTGAGTAACCTTTGACATTGAAATATTTAAAATGTAGCCTATTTCATAAATACTTCCTCTCTTCCTACAATTACAGATCATCTACCAATCCATTTCGTGTAGTTTTTTTCTTTACTCTTTTTTTTTCCATATTAAATTAAGGTAGATTAATATTCCTTTATTTGAAAACAATAAAGCAACATATTAGACATATTCTTGTTCCAGAAAAAAAAAAGAAAAATTTATTAATCCTTTCTAGCATGTAGCAACTTTGAAATATCGAAAAATACAAAGACAATATAATTCATCTGCTTTGAAAATTTGTGAAAAGTCTTAAAAAAAATTTACAAATCTAAGAATTGATCTTTTCAGATATAAAAAGAGATGTAATGAACATCGTATGCTGCCATTCTGATTTTTCTACGTAATTTTCTTCTGTTCTCTTCTAATTTCTCATATAATTTATTACAGTTTATACCAAATGCTATTTTTGGGTATTTAGAATATTTGAAATATTGAAATAGAAATATATATTCATTATTATTATTATTGTCAATTCATTCACTGCCTTTTCTTACAATACGTTTGCATGAGTGATTCTTTTGATATACAACAATAAAAGTGTGCTAAAAACAACCGAAAATCATGAATTGCGGCAAGAAATTAGTGATTAGTAGTAGAAGAAGGAATTTCGATAATTTAACAGCAAATCACTCCCCATCACAGTTACTGGATGACAATAAACTGTCACAAACGACTACCAAGAAAACCGATGATCAATGGAATTTTAAGTGCTTTATCGGAGCTACACAGATGGTACTAGGGAGCTGTTATCCATTATAAAGATTCAAGTAAAACTCTGTACAGAAACAATAGAACAGATCTATTCTTAATGAGCTGAAATATCATAAACAAATGCAGAAATAGTGTGTATGTGTGCAAATGAATAATTCGGCCAGTAAAGAAAATGTTTGGGAAATGCTACATGACAAAACTTAAATATAGACTCAAAGCAGTAAAACAAATAGAGTTAACAAGTGTGCAAATAGAAGCAATAACCTAGAAAATATGCTTAAACCATTCAGAATTTTCTAAGAGATTGAAGCTCAATTTGAAAAAGTTTTCTGTCCCTCACTTTCTCCCTCTCTCTCAATTCAATCCCCGCTCATTCAAACAAAATTGAATTTACTAGATTTTGAACAACCATACGTGCAATATCACATCGACGATAACTCACACTTTAGAAATTTTTTGGAAATTTAAGATTTTTTTTGTTGCATATAACAATCAAAATTTCAGCGAAATATACGATAAGTGCATAACAAGAAAAGTAAATAAAATCAACTAATTCGAGCTTCTGCTCCGAGAACTTCTGCTTGAATCAGAACTGCTGGAACGCTTTGATGATGCACTGGAATTATTTTAAAAATGAAAAGTGGCAGTATACGGCTGCTGCATCTTATATTAGTTAAAAAGTTAAGAACAAAAAATGAAATTTGGAAAAAAAACAACTACTGCTAATCAATTCCAAAGAGTAATTAAAAAACATGATTTCATTTTTTAACATTACCCTGACAGTTTCTCCTTTCTTCATTTATCATCCATCCTCAATCACTTTTTCCTAAAGACATTCTGTCCATCTTTCTCTTCTTTTTCAACTACAATCTTTTTTATCTCTAGAGAGAGAAAGAGAAAAAAAATTCAACCTGCTGCTTGCAGTGCTTCGGGAATCGCTTGATGAACTTTCACTGCTACTACTTGAAGAAGATGGTGAACGTTTTCGGCTACGTCTCGAATGCTGAAATTAATGCCGACTCTGCAGTACAAAAAAAAAAAAAAAAAAAAAAAAAATGATATTTAGTCCTGAAGAGTCGCTAGAAAAGAACCCAATGTTTGATCACCGAATTACATAAAAAACTGGGATCACCTTTCAAAAAAGTGAACAGTGCATATTTCAATTTATAATTTTGATAAGAACCATAAGATTTTGTTAATTATTCGTAATACGAAAATTAAATTTCCTTTACAGTAAAATAAAAATGGAGTTCCTTCCACAATAAAAATCCAAACCCGATCACTGTCCCGTCGAGCACTTCGACTTCTTGTACGCCTTCTGTCTGAATACCTATCAAAGCTTCGACGTCGTTCACGTTCCCGGCGCATACGCTCATCGTACAGTTCTCGTCTAGTAGGCCGGCGAGAGCGAGACCATCCTTCAAACCGACGCACGTAACCTCTCGATCGAGATCGTGATCTTAAATCACTATGTTTTGTAGGTACACAATTCCCGGAATCATATTACCAAAAACTTACTCAAAATAAGTAGTGAGGCATAGAAAAAGGTTACTTATGGCGGCGATCGCGTGATCTTGAACGACGGCTCGAACTTCGTCGCCTACGGCCATTACTTCTGCTTCGGCGTCTCCGACTGCGACTTCTCTCATTTCGTTTATGTTCTTTCGGTTTTTCACCACCTTTTTGCTTTCTGGAAACCTCGTTTACTTGCTGCTTAATTTCTTCTGATTTTGTCGACTCCGCTTTTAAATCTTTCTGTTCCGAAACTTCATTCTCCTTATTAGTTGAACTAACTTCCTTCAATTTTCCATTTACTGACATCTTCGAATTATCGCTGTTAGAATCGACCACATTTGTTTTTGCTTCTACAGTCTGCTCACTATCAGCTTGACTTTTTTGTCCTGAAGTTTCCTTTCTTTTCAAATCGTCGAGTTTTTCGCGACTAGTACTTCGTCTTCCATCTTCCTCAATGCTTTTGCTCCTATGTTTTCGATCTGTTTTTCCTCTGTGTTCTTTGCTATCACTTTTTCGTCGTTGTTTACTCCCTGTATCTCTCTCTACAATTTGATCTTTATCTTGTTTCTCAATAGCTCGCTTTTCAAGTTCATCATTTTTATGCTCTCGATGCTGCCTATCTTTTTCAGCACTGTCCTTCTGTTTCGCCTCAGAAATCGTCTTTTGATCTCGTCCTTCTTTATCACCAGTCTTTTCAAGCATCTTTGCTTCTACAAAATGTAAAATATTAAATTTAATCATTATCCTAGTTTACTTCTCACTTTCCATACAGCACGCAGAATTAAACACAAATCATTTAACCTCTATTACGACTTAAGAAAGTTTTTAAATGAAAACAGAATCAGACAATTAGACTGTTTGGATTAAAATGAATGCTTTCTGCATGTCAGACAATATGAAACTTATCTTTGCAAACATATCCATTAAGAGTTTCTACAGTCTCATTTACAAATGAATATTGCAGTAAATACTGAAATAATCGGGCCTACCTTGTTTCGTTTTCTCTTCTGCCATTTTTTTGGCTTTCAATAAATGAATCCTAATGGCTTCGTCATCACTATCTCTTATATCTTCGGCACTGTCCAATGTAACCTCTACTGTTGGTTCATCCAGATTTAACTCATCCATTGCAGCAGCTTTTTCACCATTCTAAATTAATATTTTTCAAAATGAAATTGAAATTATATTCAAGTTCTTACTAATCGGTCATAACCGAGCGATCCGAATCGCGAAATTTCATTATTATAATTTCATAAACTTCACGCATTAACAAAACTAATTTTTAGAAACCCTACAACTTACAACTTCGACTTTCTCTTTTTCATCGGCTCGCCCTCGTCGATCTCTTTTTGTCTGTTTCATATCTTCACTGTTCCCAACCTCATCAACTTTATGCCGATTTTTTTCCTTCACAAAATGTCGTGTTACATGCTCCGGTGACCGTCGCTAAAAAGGCAGTTCATAGACTTCATTTGGTATTCCTTTATTTTTTTATTTCATTGCCTATTTACCTTCTTACAAATTATTATGGCATTAAAAAAGTCTTCAAGCACCAATAAGTATTTTAGCATATAACAAGTCTCTCTAAAATTACTGAAGAAATGAAAAAACTAAATTTTAAAACTTACCGTTGTATGCCTACTTCGCTCATGCCGATTTTCCTTCTTTTCAGACTTACCGCGATACCTTTCCTCTTTGTCTTCAATTTTCTCCGATGTGTTTAATAATATACCAGTTTTTGCTTTATCGACGACATCATTTTTGGGATTCTCAAGTTCTTCAAGCTCATATGCTTTCCTTTTCTCTTGCAAACGATGCAATTCATCAAGTGTTATTACACGATTCTGAAAGCAAAGAAAAATTAATTGTATTCGCCATTTCAAAATAAATTACTGTACTTTCACATTAATTTTGATCTGTCGGACATACTGCAACCCAATTATCCATAGCTTAAGAAAGTGAAATAAGATTTGGGTCTCAAAATTAAAATAATTCACAAAGGCACAAATTAACACCAAATGGTTAAAAGTATAATTCCAAAAGTTGCCTCAGGTGTTAGCAGAGAAATTGTTATGCCGAACAAGAAGTTATAAAATTCCAAAATTACCTGTTCACGCCTCCAATGGGGAGGAGTACGACTCCCATCGTGGTCGCTACTACCCTCTGGAGTTCGAAATCTAAGTGCACCACGACCCTGAATGAATGTAATATCTCAATAATAGTAGCTATGGTCATCAATCAAACAATTTAAGTTCGAGCTTCATAAAAATTGCAAAAAGTTCGTTAGATATGAAAATTTTAAAATAACCTGTTAAGTAAATGGAGAGAAATACTTTTAAACATGAAACATGATAGTTAAACTAACTAATCAACTCAATAAAAACTACCTGAGTAATTATGAACAAGGAGATGATACTAACAATGATTACTGAATATGGAGACAAGGCTACCTTTATTTTATGTCCGGTTCGCGTTCTCCGCATACGATTCAAGCGATGACCAATATCGCGTCGCGAAAAGCGATGAGGTGATTGTCGTTGCTTTTCTTTCTTTCCTTTCCTCGAATTTTCTGGCGTTTTTGATCTAAAAAATATTATGATCCTTGAAAAAAAAAAAACAATTTTTCTTTCTTTCTTTCGAATTTTCTGGTCTTTCTGATCTAAAAAATACTATGATCTTTTTTCTGACAATGAAAAAATAAACTGAAAATCTCTTCACAATGCATAACCATTCACCGTCTCATAAGATATTTATTTTGGTGATCTGGTTCATCAGGCAAATCTTCAGCTTTTACGCTCGATAACTGCAGTTCTGCTTCCGGAACAACAGTACCAATTTCCAATTGTTCCACTTCATCACTCTCTTTCCGCTTCTTTTCTTTCATTTTTGTCTTTTTTGTCTTTTTGTGACTTTTTTCAGTTGATGTAGAAGAACTACAAAAAAACCAATATATATTTGTCAGGGATTGAAAAAAAGAAAACGAACCAAATAATTCAAGAATAACCAAACTAAACTCAGTAGAGAATCAATAAGAAATAATCAACTCCATTATAAGTAATTGATCATATTTCGTCCGAACATGAATCCTGCATTACCTGACTGATTCATTTGATCTAGAAGAATGTTGACGTTTTTTTCGTCGAACAAGTTCACCACAATTAAGTATTACAACATCAGCTAGTGGACGATTCTTGGAATTAGTTTTTAAATATTCGATTTTGGTTACAACTTCCTGCCCAGAAACAACCTGTAAAGTTTTGCCAATTTATTTCTGATTGTTTCATTACTTTCAAATACAAAATAAGAAACAAATTTTCTTAAGCTGTAGAGTAAATCACAGTAAATCATTAGCGAAACAATGGATTTTAAATTGATCATCTTTGCTAATGATTTCACTGTGTGCAATAAGATAAAAATGAGCTGAAGAACACTGAGATTATCGAGATCTTATTCTTTGTTTTATGCTACATATAAATGAATCCTACTAATCAAAAATCTCACGATATATGTCTGCATATACTGACGTACGTGGAAAATAGGAAATAAACACACGGCAATTCATTTTAGTCCTGTGTACCTTAAGTTACTCACCTTACCAAATACCACATGGATATTATTGAGATGTGGCGCAGGTGTTGTAGTAATGAAAAACTGTGAACCATTCGTATTAGGTCCCTTGTTCGCCATCGACACAACAAACGGTTCATCATGTTTCATAACGAATTCCTCATCGTCAAACATACCACCATAAATTGATTCCCCACCTGTACCGTCACCTTTCGTAAAATCACCTCCCTGGCAAGAAATAATTGCACCAATCTATTTAAATAATAAATTTCTTCCATCGCATTTCCTATTTCATCCTAACAGAATATTCCTAATTCATTACGGCATCATACCTTGCTTTGCTGTTTGATAAAAAACAGCAGCAAGCACATGCACATTAATCTTTGCTGCATCACTACAAATGCTTACCTGAATCATGAAATTTTTGATGACACGATGAAATGTTGATCCTTTGTAGTGCAAAGGTTTGCCACTAATCTTACCGGTACCTGCCATACCAGTACAAAGCATCAGGAAATTATTACACGTCCGTGGTGCTATATCATTGTACAATTCCATCACAATTCGACCCGCAAGGTTACCATCAATTGTTACATCCAAAAATACCCGGCGGCGATCTTTTTTTGACATTTTCCGTCACAATAGTAGGATTAAATAAGAAACTGAAAAAGGAAGACATATTCAATAAAAATTTGCCACCGCAAATAAAATTGACATATTGAAGTGAACATAATCAAACTTAAATTTTCCTTCAAACAACAAAATAATTAACTAATACGCGGAAAATTATTGTACATTTATGATACCAACAGAAATGTAGCATTGACTGATCATACTAATAAAACGCAAATTTTTTTAATGCTAATAAAAATTATCATCAAAATTTCTAGAAAGAGTCTATAAATATTTACATTAGCATTATTTCGCGTCAATAACAAGTAGAAGAAACTAAATAAACGAGCACTAAACACACCACCAGTAAAAGGAAGGATGTAATCCTGAAAACATATTTGACGTCGGCCAACTGTGAAATACCGGTTCAGTTCATTTCACGTCGTGTAATAAAGGAATTTCAAGACAGAATAATTTGTTATAACGTCGAAGATTATAACAAATTAAACTTTTTATATTTTTGGTTAATATGAATGTTAAGCAATAACTAAGCAGAATAAACTTTATTTAATTTTAAAATATCTAAATTATTTGCATTAAACAAAATTTTATCTCATAGTAGTAATCCTTTCACTACGTTTTCAGCTATATAAACACATACATCAATAAACTAACTTTGGTTACTATCGATTAATCTTTTCAAGTGATTTTACTGTAGAATTATATAATTTACTGTAGAATTATTATATAATATGGTGTGGTTACTAATAATTTAAATGTAGCAATGTATAGTTATTTCTTCCCTTTCTTCATTTTTTCATTTAAATGAAGTAATGAAATTTATGTATTTTTTTCATTTAATTGTTTGTAAAGTGAAGTATTATTTTTGATATCATTTATCTTTATTACCACTTTATTAAGAGTTGAAATTGCTAAAATGTGATTGAAACTGTCCCATAAATATTTAAAAAAATGAATGAGAAACATTTAAATACGTAGTGGATCAAGTCAGAGTAGCATAAGTGAATTTGCTGCGTATTGTGTGGAATTGGTTTCGTTGATATTATTAACATACAATTGTCGTAGTGTTGAATTCATGTCTATTGTTTTTTCTTTGTAAACATTGAGGAGTAAACAAATTTTACAAGTAAGCGATCACTTCGTGCAGTACTGGTAAATACATTTACTTCTAGCTTGCCTTAACGATAGGGATTGTTTATGCATGATTGAGGCAAGTTAAATGAAATTTTTTTGTGAATGAAATTGAATTAGATAACGTGGATGGTTCTGGGATCAATTTATGTTTGGCGTAAGTACGTTAGAGTAAGGTATGAAAATTCAAAATTCAGGAATATTAGACGGAAGAAAATACCGCGTGTAAGTTTGCTTTTTTTCTTCCTTCCATCAATAACAGTATTTTTTTTAAAAATATTTTAGGATAATCGACATTTCGGGACAGTTCATCTCCATCCATCATTGTCGTGTGACTTAGGGTGTTAAACAATGGTGCGTACAACACTTCTAGCAAAGGTTGTAGTGTTTTTGTAGTTTACATCAAATATTATCTAGTAGTTTTGTTTATGCACAGTACTGAGTGTATAATACTAGTATGTTCATGGGAATAATGAGTTAGCTTTTATAGCATTGTGATATAAATTTCAGTGTTTACTTTGGTTTAATTTTTCCCATAAACTTTGTTACTTATTAATGACTCATTAAAAACAAATTCGAGATGAAAAAGGTTTAGGATACTACTAAATCATGTAGGTTAATTCGTCATTAATTAATTCATTAATTTGTAATGAATGGAATTTAATTGTAGCCTTTAATCTGTTTTGTTCTAATGTATTTTGCTTCTTTGACTAGTGAATTGGTTCTCTTAGCCATTCAACATATAAAAGATCTTTTTAACTGCTATTAAATTTCTGGGAATATATATTCTACATGGAAGTTTATATAACAAAAATTTATTGGTAAGTTCTATTTATTTAATGATTGAACTGTAACTGACAGTTTCTTTTAACCTAACTCTAATAATTTCTTCAGGTTGCCCTTTCTCAGCCATCGTTAATAGCTCGCTGGGACAATGTCTCACCAGCTGCCAAAAACATCAAATTTACTTATAACGGTATTTCCATGTTATCAATGTTGCTGAATAGTTTAGAAATTTTAAGCAAATATACTCCTAGACAGATGTTATATAGCAATGAGAAGATTTTTGAAGTGCACAGATCTCTATTTCACTGGTTTATTCTCAGTGTTTTTGCATAACATCGAGATCATTTTCGCGACTTTTCAAGAGGATTTCTCTTTTGTAAAAATTTTTTTTATTCCAACTTACACCAGTTCGTTTACATTTTATATCCAGCGTACTGTAAATGCTTCTTTTACAGGGAAGTTGGCTAATATGCTGCGGTATTATTTATGGTCATATGGCTGGAGCGGAAGACGATATGGTTCTCTTTTAATGACTTTCTGTTTCTTTATTGGTTTAAAAGGAAATATCAAATTTGGTAGAAATTGAACAGAGTTGTAGTTTTGAACGTTTGTTGCAATTGGAAATTTTAGGTTTGCTCTTTCATGATCAGTGTTTCGAGCCAGCTCCAGAAGTAAAGGAGGCACTACGTCGTTTGAACTTGAAAGAACCATGGCTTTTTGATGAACGCAAAATACGACTCTATCATGCACATACAATGAAATCCCATGGTGAACAGTTACCAAAAGAAAAGTGGACGAAGTGGGAGGATGTAAGTCTATGCTATTGTTTGGTGATGAACCAGTTAATCCTATTTTTTCATATTTTGCGCATCCAATTTCTATATGTCATCTTTCTTGAATGAAAGTCTACTTTGCGTACAAAAAAAAAAAAAAAATTACTTTTTAGTTAGTGCATTTGTTCCTAGTTGCTAATTTACCATTTTATTTCAGGAAACATGGTATCTTAAGCCATATTTAGATGAAATTGAGGAAGAAAAGAAGACGCGAGCAAACACTTCTGGGTTACTCCCTGGTTTTCAGTTAAGAGAACGTCATTAATTAGAACTGATGATGATGTAACATCTCTTTAAGTGTTCCTTTTCAATATACATATATCATTGTGTCCAGGATTTATTTAATTCCAAAGCAATCTGGAAATTTAGGTCAAACTTTCATTGTCTGAATAGTATACAAATTTATTATATAGTTTAGATAAAACTTTGTTCCGACTTCTCACCGTAACAGTTCGTGGAGATCATACAACTTGTTGCCTCAGCAATTCCTATCAACATATTCATTATCGATTTTTCATTACTATTTAATAATAAAAAAAAAAAAAAAAATGACAAATGCGAAGTAACTTTGTGTTATTTTATGGTTTATTTACGTTTTTTTTTTTTTTTTTTTTTTTATTTGGAAGGCAATTTAATGAGTTAATCATCAAAGATATGGAACGGAAGTGGAAATTTGTCATGAAATCAGCCAAATAGCAATAGATTACTCTTGTTGCTGTTTAACAACTGTGATGATTTTCAATCAGATTAGCATTTTATAAAATAATTGGACAGATGATTCACAAAATGTCATTAATGAAACCAAAAGTCAGGTTATGAAATCAAAGTCATGCTGCAAAGCGATTAAATATATTGAAGTTTGTTTCGTATCGATGTCATATTCTTTCTAATTGTTATAAAAATTAGGCAAAAATGTGATACAGTTATGTAAACACTTCGAATGCTTTGAAATTAATGAAATGAAAAAGTGGTTAGTATAATATTTCTGATATTTGTTATAGATACTTCTCTTTTGCTTCAACTTCAACGATGATAGAACTTCAGCTAACTTCTTTATCTATTTCATATTCAAATAGAAATAAATATAAATTTAGTACATACAAGTTTTTGTTAAAAAATTTCAGAAACGCCACATACCAGCACATTTTGTTGTATATTTTAATCTTTATACACATATATAATTCAATACCATACTGATTGATCTGTTCAGTGCGCTCTCGACTGTTCGTTTTTTTTTTTTTTCCTATTTATTTAAAAGAGAGGGGAAGTTTTACCCAAAATATATGTAGCAATGAAAATACAAAAATTTTTTTTCCCACTAAGGTTTATATAAATGAGTTGCTAAATACGACAATTTGGTATTGAAGTTTTCCGGTTTTTTCTTTTTCAGCAAATAATGTTTAAAATTTGAGAAAAAAAGGAAAAAAGAATTGTAAATCATAAAAATAAAAAAAAAAAAGAAAAAAAATGAGATTATTTCATTGGTTGTTAACATTAACAGAAAGTTCTGAAACGGTTTTGTTAGTGGTTGAATTTGGTGACGCATTCTTTAGTGATTTCTTGTGTACAATTGATGCTTTATAACTGATTGCTTCATCAAGACTGTTTATATATGAGTCATCGGATAGTGATTCCAATGAGTGAAACTGAAATTTTTATAAAATATATATGAAATGATATGATTGTCTTTTTGAACTTAGTTTCCAGAAGCTTTTTTGATAAGGAAAATTGAGATTTAATTTTGATAATTTTAAAATCAATTTATTACAATTGATAAGAGTAGTTAGATGATAACATACACGATGCACTCTTTTAATACTATATGAATTGATCTATTTCTCCTAGCTGATATCATCTAATCATGATTATAATCATGATTAGTATTACCAGAATACCTGTGACAACATCTCACCTATTCAATATATCAACATCACAGGTAATCTACCTCGGTTATATTACATCTTTTCAATAGATTTTTTTGCTTATTTTGTTCTTTTAGTTATATTATCAATAATTTTACTAAATTATTTTCTTTTTCAATTTTTTGTATCCAAACTTCAATCTAACCGTCTTTTTCTTTTTGTTGAATATTTAACAATTTTATTTAAAAAAAAAAATAAGTACTGTTTCTCTCAAAATAAATATTAATTAAAAAAGATTAAGTAAAATTAATTTCACTATAATTGTAGAGCCAAAAAAATAACATGATCTAAAATTTTGTTTATTTTTTTTTTTTTTTTTTTTTAAAGATTTTAAAAATAAAATAAAATAATTAGAAATGATTGAACTCACTTGCATTTTTGATGCTGGAAAATCAGTAGCAGAACAACTAAATGATAAACTGTCCCAGGTATGAGTTTCTGTTTCTGTTGCAAAAAATGAACTTTTCGCATGACGATATAGTTTTGATGAAACGCAAAGTTTCCTTCGACGACGATAAAGTGCTGATGCCATTGCTAATAATTTTTTTTTTTTTTTTAAGATATATTAATTAATTAATTAATTTTAAAATTAAAAGTTTTTGTAAATTTTCAAAATTTCATAAATTTTAGAACTTTTTAACGATTGAATAAAGGTGAAAAAAATATATATATATATATATATATATATTTAAAGTAATAAATTTCAATACCGATACCAATGCCAAATGCTGTCATAATAGCAACAGCACTAATAGCAATTAATATAGTATTCAATACATCATCCATATGATTCGAGACATGTCGAGAATCGTAAAATGCAATTATTTCATCTGCTAAAGTAGGTTGAAAATAAAATTACACCAAAAGCTATTATTGCATTTGTGTTAGAATCAAATTATTATTCATATTTGTGATTATTTTATCAGTAAGTAAAAAAAAAAAAAAAATTAAATATTAAAGTGAAACTAAATTATAAATTTTAAAACTGATAGTTATTTTCTCATGAATTCATTAATTTCTTGTTGAATTTAATTTTTCTTTGTTTTTATTATAATCTTTTATCTTTTTCCTTAGCTGTTTTCTTATCTATTATTAAAGTTGGAATTAAACATTTGAAAAATGAGCAATATTTTGCAATTTATTAAATTAATTAAATCAAAAATTAAAAATTGATTTTGCATATTATTAAATTGAAATATGAAAAGAAAGAAAAGTATCATTCAGATTTAGCAAATATATGGTGTAAATTTAGTGAAATTGAATTAAATTTTAGTTCAACACAAAATTTATTCAAATCAGTTATGTAATTTAAGTAAGTTGTTTTAAATTTTATGATAAATTAAAAACAAAGAAAGCTTCAAGATTGAATTTTTCAACTGCTCAAAGAGAAGTCATCACAGGAATTTCATTCTTTTATTCAAAAAACAAGTTTGAAGCAATTCAAAGAGAAAAACAAGGAGAAGGAGAGAGAGAGAGAGAGAGAGATAGAAGAAGGGAGAGTGAAAGGTAGCTTTTCTTCGAAATTGAATTTTCTGCACTATTTTGTTTTTACCAGCACATATTGTCCTAAATTTCCCTATAAAATTCTAATTTATCTTATCATTAATTAGAAATTAAAAATTGTTAATTTCAATTAGTGCTACTGATAATAATGAAATTTTCGTATGCTTCGAATAGAATAATAACAATAATCATTATCATACAGTATTTTCTCTAATTTTTCTTTTTAATTTAATCATAATTATCCTTAATTAAAAATATTTATTTTAATAATTGAATATATCTGAGTTGTTGCATATTTTTAATAAAATAAAAAGCAAAACTTACTATTTTCAATTTCAGAGCTATCATTTCCAAAAGTAGTCAGATTTGATGATTTCTTGTAATTGATTGAATCGGTCATTTTTGAGATAGCTAATGACATTTCTATACCATTTTTTTTTTTTTTTTTATTCTTCCAATTTCACTTTTAATTTATTTTCCTAAAATAATTTTATTTCAGTAAATAATCAAGCAATGCACCTCAGACGTTTCTTTTTTTCGTATAGGAATGAACAAAATATTAGAAAAAGCGAAATACTACGAGATGATAATGATTTGAGAAAAAAAAAAACGAAATAAACTGATAATAATTTGTACTACAAAATTTTTTAACTGATAATAATTTGTATTATAAAATTTTTAACTGATAATAATTTGTATTATAAAATTTTTAACTGATAATAATTTGTATTATAAAATTTTTTAATTGATAATAATTTGTATTATAAAATTTTTTAACTGGTAATAATTTGTATTATAAAATTTTTTAACTAATAATAATTTGTACTAAAATTTTTTAACTGATAATAATTTGTATTATAAATTTTTTAACTGATAATAATTTGTATTATAAAATTTTTTAACTGATAATAATTTGTATTATAAAATTTTTTAACTGATAATAATTTGTATTATACTATAAAAATTTTTTAACTGATAATAATTTGTATTATAAAATTTTTAACTGATAATAATTTGTACTTATAATAATAAAATTTTTAATTGATAATAATTTGTATTATAAATTTTTTAACTGATAATAATTTGTATTATAAAATTTTTTAATTGATAATAATTTGTATTATAAAATTTTTAACTAATAATAATTTGTACTACAAAATTTTTTAACTGATAATAATTTGTACTATAAAATTTTTTAACTGATAATAATTTGTACTATAAATTTTTTAACTGATAATAATTTGTGTTATAAAATTTTTTAACTGATAATAATTTGTACTACAAATTTTTTAACTGATAATAATTTGTATATAAAATTTTTTAACTGATAATAATTTGTACTATAAAATTTTTAATTAATAATAATTTGTACTACAAAATTTTTTAACTGATAATAATTTGTACTATAAAATTTTTTAACTGATAATAATTTGTACTATAAAATTTTTTAACTGATAATAATTTGTATTATAAAATTTGTTAACTGATAATAAATTGTATTATAAAATTTTTACTTTAATGTATTTAAAAAAAGCTAAGCTCTGCTAACTGCTCAAATTGTTTTGTCAGAAGATAAATGAAATAATAAACAAATGTTATCGTACGATTAATAGCAAACATTAAAATTGATAGTCTATTTAAAATGAACATTAATTATCTATCTTGTCATACCAATATAACTAATTACATTCATTCCTATGATTTTAACAAATTTAATTTTTTCTTCCAATTAAATGTTTTTTTTTCCAAATGAAAAGTAATAAAAATTTGAATTGAATATATGGAAAAGCGAAGGTTAAATTTGTTAATACAAATAATTTTTTAACATTTTGTCGACGTAATAAAATTACCAATAATAGGTTGACAATAAAATATCGGCGACAAAATTTTCATTCATATTTAGGTGACAATTATTTTGTTGCTACAATTAATGGCCACAAAAGAATAACTGTATCGAACGATTAATATTGTTTGAATTTCGTATAATTCATCATTTTACAAATTACATATTTTCATTGAATCAGAATGTCTAATTGTAAAAAATTTCAAACTAACAAATACATTAAATGTTAATAATTACATCTCATATAAATGAATTGAATTGAATTGAATTAAAATTCCTACGGCATAATAATATCTAATAACTTATTAAATTCTAATTGTAAAACAGGTAAATAATAATTAAGATTGCTAGGTTTGAGAATTTAATATGAAAAACGTATAGATTGGTGGTATCAGTTTGCTCTCAGTTATTAATTAAATTTAATTAAATTTTTCTAATTTCTCTTTACATTTAATAAAAAAAATTTTTTTTCTAAAATTTAATGAAACAATAAAATTATCAAATAAATGTATAATAAAGTCAATTTTTTTCTAAAATTTATTGAAACATTAAAATTATCAAATAAAATTTACAAATGTATGATAAAGTCAATCAAACAGTCCAAACATTTTAATAAACAATAATACTAGCAATTATAAAGTAAAAGACAAATTTAAAAAATAAAAAAAGAGCATAAAATAATTGATTAAAATTAATAGAAAAAAAAAAAAAAAAAAAGGTTTACATTTGAAATGAAACTAACAAATGAAACAATTAAATTTATTTAGCATTAAATTCCTTTTATCACATTGCAATAACTAAATGTTTAGTTAAGTTTTTTAGAAAAAAATAATGAAAATATTGGTTAAATTTAATAGAATTATTTTAGAATTTAAAAATTCACTTTGATTTTTTTTTTTTTTTTTACCTAAATTTTTTAGCAAATCAATTATAAACAAAAGAAATGAAATAATTATTGCAGAGTGCGACGCTAAATTGCAAAGTGCTGAAAAGTTAGTCATATAATTTTCTAGAATTTTCATCTAATTAAGAAATAAAAAATTACAACCAAACCTGTTTTATGCATAAAATAATATTATAAATTAAATTTTAACATTCAATTATAATTTCATTTTTTTTTTTTTTATACTATTGTAAGGTGGAAAATATATATTTCAGATTCACATTTCACATTTTTCTTACATTTTCTTCCGTTTTTTATTTTTTTTATTTCCATGGAATATAAAATAAACATATTGTTTAATAGATTGATTTATTGCTTTGTCATTCATAATTTAGTTTTCAAAACCTTTCGAGCATTTTGAATTTCGATGCTAATTAAATTTTAATTCTTTTAGTGAAAATTTTTTAATTGTACATTTTAAAAACATTCCCAAAATGTTTCTAATTTATATTTATCTCTAAAATTAAGGTAATTTTTGATTATATATTGTTACAATTTTATTTTGTATAAAATTTAAATATTTCATAGAATTTTCATTTCGAAATGATCTCTTAAATATTTTTTTTTTTTTTTTAAAAGAATATATTTACAGTAATCATTCCCATTTGATGTTTGTTTGTTTGTTTTGTTAAAAGTTAACCTCTGTTGACCTCAATACTCCTATTTATAGCTTATCAAAATATTTTTTAAATTTCTAAACAAATTCATCGATTCACTTTTTCTTATCTCTTTTTTGCTCCCTATTTTATGTTTTTTTTTTTTTTTTTCATAAAAATAATCGTAAATAAATTTTCAAGTTTTTAAAATGAATCATACAAATTTGTTCAGTTAGTTGCTTATATTTCGGAAGAAAAGAAAAAAAAAAAGCGATTGGAAGTGTAACTTAAAAAATAACAAAAAAAAAAAAAAAAAAAGATTTATGATAAAAAGAGAAGAAAATAAACGAATGAAAGAGAGAGAGAAAGGGAGAGAGAGAAAGAGAGAGAGAAAAAAAAAACAGGAAAGAGGAATAAATGAATGAAAGAAAAGAATAAAATTTGAGATTCGTATCATTCCAATGAAATTCACTCATTTAAATTAAAATTCAAAAGCAATCTGTACATTTTCAGAGCAGAAAGCATAACGATGAACAAATCAAAAAGTTAATTCTAAAATTTTATTTCATTTTTTTTTTTTTTTTATTTTTTTGATGATTAATCGAAATGAAATTATTTAAGAGAAAAGAATACGAACGAAGAAAATGAAAAGAAAAGAAAAAAGAATGAAAAAATGATTGATAATAAACAAATATACTTATTTACTGTCATTCATCCTCTTACATTTGTTTATTTAATGAATTTTATTTGAAATTGATTTTCAAATTCTCTCAAAATTTTCTTCATTTTCTTTCATCTCATTCAAACCAAATTTTTATCTTTTTTTTTTTTTTTTTTCCTCATTTTACAGTTTTCATTTTTCGTTCATTGCTCTTTTTATTCTTAATAATAATTAAAAAGAAAACAAAAATGTTTGGTAATAAAAAAATATTCCAATAAAACTTCATTTCATATTTAATTAACAATAATAATTAATAATAATATTAATAAATTAGTATTAACAATAATAAAAAATCAAATGTCTGAAATAATAAACAAAAATTTTTAAACTTTAAAAAGTATTCTAAATGCAACAAGTGAGAAATATTTTAAAAAAAAAATAAATAAAATATTAAATAGACAAAATTATAAATACATAGAATGATAGTAATTAAAATATTGCAATAATACTAAATATATTTTAGCATACTATAATTTAATTTTGTTAAATACTATAATTTAATATCTTAATTTATATTCTGTTGATAATAAATTAAAAATAGAAATTACTTTTTTATATTTTATTACTATTATTCTATGTATTTGTAATTTTGTCTATATAATATTTTAATATTTTACTTGTTTTATTTTATTCTTCTCCTACTGCCTTCATTATTGGACGATAATGAAAAAAATTGATTGTAAAATTTATCGAAATTAATACGAATTGGTTTTTTATAAAAACAAATTATTACAAATTATGTTCAATTATTCTCTTCCACTTAAAAATTTTAGGTCAACGAATTATATAACATTTTGTTAAATATCATATATTATTAATAAATATAGTTTTTGAAAATATTTTCTCTTTCTCTCTCCTAAATTATTGTTAAATTTGATAGAAAAATAATTATTATCAATATATTGTGATAAGCAGTATTCTTTGAAACAAATATCTGATTGAATAAATTATTTGATAAGTTTGAACAAATAGCAATTGCAATCTTTCAGAACAAATTATTTTTGATATTTATTCCTTATCAAATCATATTACAAACAAATAAAATATGACTTTTAAACTTTTCTGAAATTAGGCCTGAATATACTAAAATTAGGAATACTAAAATATACTAAAATTATATATCCCATTTTATTTATATGTTACAAATAAAATGAAACACAGCAAGTGATTGGACAATAGCGCCAATTATTCTACCAAGCCAAAAGAGCCAATATACCAAAGGCAAGAATAACCTTATCACAAAGATTATTTTAAATAATGACACAGTAAACTTTGATTAAATCAAAATTGATAAAATATTTAATTTGACAAATTGATA